TTTACCATTTAAACTGACTGCCACAGCTACAGAAGATAGTATGCAATTATACTTGTGAATATTTTCTAGGAAATGCATTACAAGAGTACTCTTCAGTGAAAGGGTCTTTGCCTCTAATGATTTCTGTTTTTTCACTCACACTAACACATTTCATTTCCCCCAGCTAAGTTTCTGCATTGTCTTTAAATGATTAGTATATCACACTACCTTCAGTCCCCTTAGGATCAAAATATACTTTACAAAGTATACCCAAGTTTGCTGAGAAACACTATTGTGGAAATAGGGAGGGCATTTGCAGAAGAGAACTAGTAGGAGGCTTGATCTTCCTCTCCTGCAACCACCCCTCTCTCCACCAATGTCCCCTAATAGCTTGCAATCATTTTTCCTGCTAGGCTACAAGACTTTGTCATGGGTCTGTGGATCAGTAGTAGAGCATCTGCTCTGCATGCAGAAGGTCTCAGGTTCATTCCTCAGCATCGCCTTCCTGTTCTTTCCTACTAATTCTGCATTTGCCTTTCTGAGGCACAAACCAGACTGGAAAAAATATAATTGCTTAATGTAATTTGTCATTGTCCAATCCTGTTATCTCACTTGGAGTTGTAGGCTGTAGCCACCAGATGGCACCTTTGCATTAGAATTTCTATTTTCAGTTTGATTACAACTCTGTGTAGGGGGTGCACAGCTCTGATGCATCAAATCTTCCAAGTGGTGAATTGAATAAAGACAAAAAGAACAAGCGTACTGTATATAAATATCTGTTGGACGTTCTGCACCATCATTGCTTTTTGATTAAGCTTCAGTTAATATTGTAGTAGCTGGACTAATATCAATAGTCATGGTATGATAATGGCATAATAATGCATCTATAATACATAGATGGGGCAAAAATTGATTCATGTTTATTTTTCTGAACACTGAATGATGCTGGTTCAGCATCTTTGCAGTATTTAAAGACGAATTCTGCTAGCCGGACTACTTTAAGCAATCAAAATACAACAGTGACTTCAATAGAAATTTCTTTAGGAAACTACACACACACACAATTTCCATTCCAATTATTTGTTGAAAGCTTTTATCTGTAGTAAGTTCATTTCTTACTAATATTACAAACCAATACCATAACAATATTAATGAGCATAGATTCAGGTGGTTAGTTGTGTTGGTCTGAAGCAGCAGAGCAAAGTTTGAGTCCAGTGGCACCTTTAAGACCAACAAATAATTCTGGTTATAAGTTTTCATCTGCATGCACAAGAAGTGTGCATGCACATGGAAGCTTATACCCAAATTAAACTTTGTTGGTCTTAAAGGTGCCACTGGACTCAAATGTTAATGGGCATTATAATACGGCTGATATTTTCATTTTCTCACCAAAATCAGTTGAGATATGCTGAACTAGTTAACGGGAAAGAGCCAGAACTTTGCAAAAATGTTGAACTATTTTACTCCCATTCCAAGATCCTACTTAAACATCTTCTGAATAAGGCTGGGAATTTTTCTTGTATGTATAAAAAATTCAAAAAATGAATAATACAGTTTACAGATTACATGGGGTTATGTTTCTTCTATTTTTCCTACATGATATTTTTCAGACATTTAACACAGAATGTGTACTAAGAGTCCTACTGACACAAATTTACATAAGGGAAAAGTTGACTTATATGTCTCTAGCAAAGTGTAAAAATAGCATATATTTCTATGGGCCAGAACAATAGATTATTCTTGATGTCTTTTTGCTTTCAGCTTCAAGAAAACTCTGTGAGGTTAATCATATGTATGCTTTGGAACATCTCTGCATGTTCCTATCAAAATTTCCATGAGTCATTTCTCCCTGTAGTTTGTAATTCAGCCTGACTTGAGGTTTTCAGTAAAAACATATCTGGGCACATATCTTTATGTGGCTGAAACTTGTTGCTGACCATGCTCATTATTTGTTTGGTAAGCGTTATTTATTTATTTTTACCTAAGCACCAATGCTGCAGTAAGGTATCCAAATAAAACCACTATTTGTTTGATTCAGTGGAGGTTTCATATACAAACTGATGCCATCTAGATATTGAGATTATTGTGCAGTATCCTCTCTAAAGTGTGCTTTTGTTTAGCATCATCTTGAAATGGTTTTCTTACTGATGTAATGGAAACCTACTTCTATAGAGCCAACTAAATTTTGGGGTCAAGTTACCATCTTAGACAACTATAGTGCATTCCTAAATAGAGTTACTGTCTTCTAAACTAATAAGACTCATTGCACTAAAAGTGTGTGATCCTGTTTAGGATTGTACTGTTAATGTTGCACATATACAAGAATATGCAAGCTCTGATTAGATGGAAAACCTCTAAGATAACATAATATCCACTTCATATGTTACTTTTCCAAAGCTCAGAATAATCTAAGCATTGGAAAAAATTATGCACCTTCTATAGTATATGAGCTAAAGCAGACCCCCCTCCTCCTCTAGGGTTATACATTTTGCGGTGCCAATTCTCTCTCTTTCTCTCTCTCTTCCATTGCAGATACAGTTTTAACTATTGGGAATCTGATTCATTTGTAACTGGTAGTCTATCATAATGCTTCTGTAAACGAACACTTCTGAAACACTTCACAAAAGTTCTTATCTCCTTCTCCTTTGGAATTCTGTAGAACAGAACTAGCTGAAGTGAAAATAATGATCTGGATTAAGAGAGTAAAGTGTTCATCATTCCAAGATGGTGTGATGTCTATCGAGCTGTGAATATCTTATATTGTTTTCCAAACATGAAAATGCTCTGGGTATCGTTTTGGGAGGATGACTGAGGAGTTTGTAAAAATACTTTAAAAGATTAGCACATGTGTAACTCAGTTAATTTATTGCAGTACTTTTTCTTAATTAACAGCAGAGAACAGCAGTAAGGCAGCTTGTCAGAGTAACAACCAACAGGTTGCAGTGCTGAAATTGTCTATATTTTAGAGAACTTGTAAGAGAACTTGTCCCTGAGAGTATAACTGTATACCTAGACTGTAAAATGATTTATCCAGTATTCTTTCCCCAAACTACTGCCTTGCCTTTCTTTTTCCATTTAAATCTGCCATGGAATCTTCACCTTCTAAAGAGACATTCGTATCCAGTTGTTACCTAGCTCCATTTCACACAGCCCTTGTGAATGACCACTGCATGATCAAAGGGTTCCCAGTGATTGTTGTAGCTCCCAGAAGAGCTTTCAATTGCTGTAGTTGCTCACTTGGTCATGCATGCTGCAATGGATCCTGGCCTTTTCTGACAATGGAAGTGAACAGGGAACTCACAGTGACTTCTTTGTCCCTCTGTTCTGCTGTTAGATGAGTCCAGGAGGTAGCAGACAGTGGTCCTTTTCACACTAGACCTTAAATCCTGGTTCACCTCTGTAATTACCTTGGGGTATTTTTTGTTTCCACATTACACTGAGGTCACCCCAGTTTTGCCCAACAGTTGTCCCAGGATAAACGGATCCTGTTATAACCAGGAATAAATGCAAGGTATTGTGTCGCGAGTTGAACTCTTACAAAACCAGGGATGAGATTGAAGTGCAGAAAGGGCCACTGAATTAATCAATGGATCACATGGAGTGTAGCAGCACTGTGACAAATAAAAAGAGGTTCTCAGTGACTGAGGTACAGGCTTCTGTGTATGCTGAATTTGGGCTCTATTCAGTTAAGTCCTGCTGGATCAGACCAATAGTTCATCTAGTCCAGCATCCTGTCTCACAGAGTGGCCAACCAATTCCTCTGGATGGCCAACAACAGGGCATAGAGGCTAAGGCCTTCCCCAGATGTTGTCTCCTGGCACTGGGATTCAGAGGTTTAGTGCCTCTGAATGTGGAGGTTCCCCTCAGTCACCATGGCTAGTAGCCAATGATAGACCTATTCTCCATGAATCTATCTAATCCCTTTTAAAGCTGTTTATTCCTGTGGCCATCACTACATCCTCTGGCAGCAAATTCCACATCTTAATCACTCTCTGTATAAAATAGTATTTCCTTTTGTCCATCCTGAAACTACTGCCCATCAGCTTCATTAAATGCCTTCAAGTTCTAGTATTTTGGGAGAGGGAGAAAAATTCCCCTTTATGTCCACTCTCCACTCTCTCCATTCCATTCATAATCTTAGGAACCTCTATCATGCCCACCCCCTTTAGTCATCTCTTTTCTAAACTGAAAAGTTCCAGACTCTTCAGCCTTTCCTCATAGGAAAGATGCTCCAGCCCCCATCTTGGTTGTCCTCCTCTGTACTTTTTCTAGGTCTGCAATGTCCTTTTTGAGCTATAGTGACCAGAACTGTACACATTACATTCCAAAAGAGGCCACACCATAGATCTATACAGGGACATTAAAACATTGCCTGTTTTATTCTCAATTCCTTTCCTAATAATCCCTGACATAGATTTTGCCTTTTTCACTGCTGCAGCACACTGAGCTGACAATTTCATTGAGCTATTCACTATGACCCTGAGATCTTTTCCCCTCTCTGTCTCAACAAGTTCAGACCCCATTAGCCTATACTTGATGTTCTGTTTAATAACATTACCATTGGGACCAGTGATTGTATTTGGAGTAGTTGGTTGCATATTAAAAGCAGGAACACATCCTGATTTTGCATAGTCCTTGGATTCTAGTTAATTCATATAATTAAAAGAATATGCTGCAAAACCCTTCATCACTTTGAACATATTAATCAGTGCATAAAACCCAACTATTTTTAGAATGATTTTTAATTAATTATGTGGAATTATGTTCAAAATTCCGATCAGGTACCATATTGAACAGAGCAATTTGTCTTCAGAAACTTTTAAAATGCAGCAAATTGTTACTACACTCCTCTGATACCAACAAGCTTGTGGTAGGTGATGGCATCATTTTATTTCTTAATTTTTAGGAATGCACCTCCATTGATTGCACAGCATTTTGTGACAGTAGCCTGGATGGTGTGTAAGTATATGATACGAATACAGAAAAGAATTGCTGACTTCAGTCATCTCTGTTTTGCATAGATCAAGAACAATGGTGAACTTCTAGTAAAAAATGCACAACTGCGACATGCTGGAAGATATACATGTGTTGCTCAGACAATTGTTGATAATGCCACAGCTTCAGCTGATCTTGTTGTGAGAGGTAAGAACATGTTTATAGTAGCTTTATAGTACTTCTAAAGCCATGCGTATTAACAAATTCATTGTAATTTATAATGGTAGATTGGAATGTATTTCTCTGGTCCGGGGACAGGGGAGATACTCTACACAGACAGTTGCCCCACTTCAAAGAAGAAGATGCTGTAAGGTCACCTCCATGCTTGAGAGGAGACGGATGGAGCATATTGGCAGGGTGTCAGTTAATTACCCCTAGCATTCCACAATTAAAGATACATCTGCCCATGAATCTCCTATTTTGACATGTTTATTTCCTTCACTGTGTCCCTTTTCTGAATTAAACCCAAACAAATGGTAACTGTATAAACTAAGCTTGTTATTCCTGTTTGAATCTGTTAAACATCTTCATTATGTCAAATGTTAATTTACAGTTCATCCTCTACCTGTCTGTATGGACTGGTAATCTCCATTTCATTGTATCTGAAGAAGTGTTCTTGCAACCGAAAGCTCACACCTTGAATAAAACTTTGTTGGTCTTAAAGGTGCCACTGGACTCAAACGTTGTTCTGCTGCTTCAAACCAACACGGCTACCCACCTGAATCTATGGTGTAGTTAGTTTGTGTCTCTCAAAGAGAGAGCACCAGAAGCTTATGGTGTTTCATTGCATTTGCTTTATTTATAACATATACTGGACTGCGGTCACACGGTCCTTTTGACTGGGGTTTGCCGCTGTTCCCTCCTGCATTGATCATACAGGTAAATCTGCCTCCCATGCCAAGTTGGCTCACTCCCACAATGCTCCCGGGTTTTCCTGCCCCCTGGAATATCAAGTATTTTCCTGGCACTTGCGCTTGGAATGTGCGATTTTGCCCATCTGGACAGCCATCTTTTGCAATGATTGCAATTAGAGCTGTCTGACCACTCTTTGTGCAATTTTTTAAAAAAAGATTCCGGTTTGAGCACTTGAGCAAACATGCACTTAATAAATCCATTATTAAACGTTATTTTATGTTCATTTATCTGTTTAAAGATAATATGAATTTGTTGTAAGAAACAGAAGCCCTTTCCCCAGGAACTGTCAGAGCTTACAGCACCCTGGAGGCGGGAACAAGAGGCAGGGGCTCCGGCAGCCTGGACAGGGGCCGGCAAGGAGGATGGCAGAGACGGTGGGGCTGAGCCTTTTTTCATGGGGCAATGGCAGCAGTGGCACCACCACCCACAGCGGTGGCAGGAGCAGCAGCTGCCTGAGCCTGCCCCATGGCCAGCAGGATGGCCTGGAGGGACTCGGCATGGTGGAGGCTCCACTGCAGCCCCGACGAGCCGAGCTGAGTGTAGCAGCCCTCTCGGCCAGTCTTCTTTTTCCCGCCCCTCCGGGGCTGGTCAGGCAGGCGGCTTGCTGGAGCTGTCAAGGACAATTTAGCCAAGGCATCAACACGGGTAATGCATCAGTAAATAAAAAAGGATAGCCAGAGGAAGACGGATGATTTTCCTTAGGAGCTGGGTGGTAGAAGAGAGAGGCCGGCTGCATCTAATCAGCCCAACCCAAAGAAAAATGTTCCCGATTAAATTAAAGTGGGAACAAAGTGGAATTATCTTCCCGTGTGACTGCAGCCCAGGTCAAACACAGATGAAGGCACAGGGGCATTTACAGAACAGGTCCACTATCCCACATCAGGTCCTCAGGGAGAGAAAGAGAGGGAGTGATCCTGCACCTTATGGAGCTTCAGTTAAGAGAGCTTCTCAGTTCTCTGCTCCTCTCTCTTTTTGTCACTTCAAGCCTTCAAACTGTCCTTCCTCATTGACACTGAAACCCATCTGCCTAGTCTGTTCAGCTGCCAGGGGAGGTCGTCTTCACCAAAAGTCCTGATGAGCTGCTTGAACAGAGTAATAGAGACCTATTGAGGAGGATATTTGCAGTCACTGAGAAACATTACCATTCCTTTTCTCATGTAGGATAGACCTAAGGCCAGATTTGTTACAATGCTGTACTACGTGCACCAGTTCCAATGGATTGCTGGGACAAGCATATACAGGTCAAGAGGTTATATTTTAAAAATGGACTACCTCTAGATGTGTTATCACCTAAATAAATCTTGAATCTTGAAATTCCTCAGATTTTTACAAAAAACAAACAAACCCAAAGATGTGCACATGTCTATCCTTCCTGATTGTTCTGCAAACTGATAGTATTCATATGTAATGAATATGTGGTGGCATGCTCGGAGCTTTCATAAGCCTGCATTTGGCTTGCTTGAGCTGGGTAAGGCATCACCTCCTGACCGCATAAAAACCAAATAGTTTAATTAAAATGTGAATGTGGTAGGATGGTGTTACAAAATAACAGAATACTTATGATTTATAGTGTCCATTTTGGACTACCATCTGAAATATTGTGAAAGGAGCATGAGTAATCACAGTGCAGCCTCTGTTGCAGATACAACTTCTAACAATTAAAACATTATTTGTGCAGTTTGTTATTGGGTGTGTGAAAGTTCTTGCATCATTCCTAGCATATACAATTGCTCCCTTGCAATGTCTAAAGGAGTTGTAGTGCATTCATTTTGAAACATATTTTTTCTGTTATTGATACAGGAAATCTTCATAAAATGTCACTAAAATGTTTTTCAGGACCTCCAGGACCTCCGGGAGGACTCAGAATTGAAGATATTAGAAACACGTCTGTGGTTATTCTGTGGAGCCGTGGAACAGACAATCATAGTCCTATTTCAAATTACACTATCCAGTCAAGAACCCCTTTACATGATGATTGGAAAGATGCCAAAACAGGTAAGGTTAATATTAAAAATATTAACCAGTAGCTGCTGGGTTGAAAGTAGTTACACATGATTTTAAAACTACCCAATTAAAAATGTCAAGAAAATATGTTATGAAAAAATTATAATTAAGCAAAACTAGAACGTGACATCACTTTCTGGAAAATCTGGATGTGACATCACACCTCTCAGGGACTGGATTTTATGCTTCCCCATTCTTTCTGCAGCTTCTATGCTCCTCAGGGGTAATTTCCTGCTGGAGCGCACTGGAGCAGCGCTCCGACAGTAAGGAGCCCAGGGGCAGCCCCCCCTCTGCCCGGGGGGGATTTAAATGCCTTTCTTTCCCTTCCCCATCTGGGGAAGGGAAAGAAAGTCATTTTAAACATGCCTGAGTTCCCTGCTCGATCTTGAGAAGATCAGGCAGGGATCCCAGGCATGCTTGCATGCCTGCCCTTTGTCAGGGGGTGTGGCATATGCAAATGAGCTATGCAAATGAGCTGCTGCTCCTCTTTTTCTATGAAATGACCCCTGATGCTCCTGTCCCCACAAGGTGCTCCTAAGGGTTGGATAAATTGGGATTAAAATGTGACATACTGGGTTTGGGTGCCTTGCCCAATTGTATTTCATTTACTACACTTGTATGCTTTCATATTCAACAGGATTGGCTGTTTTAAAAAAAAATTAGTTACTATCTGAATACATACTCCTACTAATCATGTAGAAAATTTGAGTGTGTCAATCTTGGATCTTATTTATGATGATACTGGGAATAAGGCCCGATGTGGAAGTAAATACAACGACCTTTAGAAAGAGGCTCTGGGAGAGTGCTCCTGTATGAAGATGATCTCTATGAACAGAAAGCCATTTCACCAATTAGGTCGGGGTGAGTTGGCATTTGCCAGACAATGGGCCCTGTAGTCAATGTTAGCGCCTTGATCCTGCACATCCGTTTGCAACCCGGTTGCATGTTAAATTCAGACATTCCGTTGACATAGGGGGACACTTTTCTTTTAAAGTAACATATGACAGGCTCCCCAGGGCACATCAGGGGGCGTTCTTGTGGCCTCCCTCTCTCTGTGGCTGCTGGGTTTGGCCATGCCCATCCCTGCAGCGCACTCAGTACAGTCTGGAGGTTGGGAATGGGGGAGAAGGAGAGGGAGGCAGCTTTTCGGGAAGCTCATGATGTGGGGTTTTACCCTGCGGCTGCAGGCTGATGCTGCAAGCCAGTGCACAAGTGGCCACAGCTAAGCTAGAACTGCTGAGGGGAGCCGCCACCAGTATAGGAATGGGATGACTGTTTGGGGAGGGGTCCCCGCCACTTTCAGGTGCTTCCCCAGCCCAGTAGGTAGGAAGCCTTGTCATTGGCCTGACCGCACTTACTGAACTTCCCAAAGGAGGAAATGGCCAGAAGGCTCCCAAAAAGGGGGAGGGAAAAAAGTTTGCTGGGCTGTTGCGCTGGATGCAAGTGGAATGGGCGGGCGGGTGCCTCTTGACCCAGTGGCTGCTTGAATGAGAGGCTAGCTGGCTACCTTTTAAAAGGTCACGCCGGACAAAGCACAGGAGTTCTAGGGAGGAGAAAAATATTATGGAGGCAGTCCTGTGAACTCTATACACAGCAGTTGAATTAAATGCCCAGCTGAGGGCAGCAATGGCGGAGGGAGGGGGAGCCAATACCTCCGAATTAAGGCCTCCTTTGCATTGCTTTTTCAACGACCCCTCAGATGCCTGTGTTACCCTTTTAAGAGCCAGTCTAGGCACAGTCTGAGAATTCTCTTGACTTCTTGGGCTAAGCTGTAAAACCCAGCGCATAAGGGACAGGTGAAAGGCAAGGCCGTGTGAGTAGTGGTGAGGTTGCCGATAAAAGTACTGGTGAGGGGCCCTTAAAAACCACAGGGGAGGCCTGGAGGAGGGCTGGCCACACTGAACCTGCCAAGCAGGGGCAGGGTGCACTGTAGCAACAGGCTCCAGGAGCTTTGCCATGCCTCCGCAGGCAGCCTGCCCAGTGGCAGTGGGGCGGGAGGAAGCCACTTGCTGCTGCAAAGCAGGGAAGGGATGCAACGATCGCTCATGGCAAACCACATTCACGCCAGATTGACTCTGCAATACTGGCACTTCTTTTGTCAACGTCCCTGCCCTGCCCCTGTATTTTGAAGGTGCTGTGGTGGCAGATCAAGGCGGCATCGCCTGTTAGAAGTGCACCCCGATGGCATTTGGGGGCAGGCTGTTATTTTGACATGGTTGCAGGTCTGGAGCAGAGCGGGGTGAGCACAGCTTGTCTTGCCCAAATCATCAGTGGGCAGCGGGCAGGGGCAGTGAGTGGTGGGAGGTGCCTGTAGACACCGGCCTCAGTACAGGGCAAGGCCTGGCGCAGCAGCAGCATGAAGGGGCAGCAGCAAGGCATGGGACAGGCAGCGGCGGCACAGCGATTGGAGGGCTGCAGCTGTCCAGCATGTCGAAGGGCACCTCCCTGGTGCTCCCCTCCAATGGGGTGGGCCAGCGCTCGGCCTCATCTCCGCAGCTTGGAGCAGTGAGGAAGGGCCCCGCTTTGGGGGGCTCATCCATCATTGCGGAGGGAAGACCTGAGGTGCCAATGGGTGCTCCAGTGGGCCTGGTACATGGCCGCTGAAGCCCCACTGCACTCAACGGCCACTCGCAGCAACTGCTGCTGCCTGCGTAGGAACAGCCATTGTGAGCAATGCCGATACAAGCCTCAGCCCTCTCAGCGTCCATCTGGTGGAGCATTTGTCCCGTCCATGGCCTTGCACCACACTGAGGCTGAGAGACTGGGTGCCGCTTCTGTGGGCAGGACTCCAGAAACGCAGCCATTGGCACACCGTCGGAGTGACAGGCGAGGGAGCCAAATGCTGTGGGCACATGTGGAACATTGAGGAAAGAGTCCCCCCAAAACAGAACTTTATGGCCAACGACCCCTTTCACCCGCCGGAGCATCCACCCCATCCATCACCTCCCAGCATACTGAGGCTGAGAGGATGGGCCGGGTGGCGGGACTAAGCCGACGCATCCACCAGTAGATGGAGACACCCTGTGAGTGGCACATCGGAGAGCCTACTGATTTGGAAGCATGTCGGGAGAGTCCACGACCAAAACAGAATTATATATAAGGAGAGATTTTGCTGAAATAATGTTTTGGTTTTCATTTAGATCCTACAATAGTTGAAGGAAATGCGGAATCAGCCAAGGTGATTGATTTAATCCCATGGATGGAATACGAATTTCGGATAATGGCTACTAATACTTTAGGGACAGGAGACCCTAGTATACCTTCGAAGAAGATTCGAACAGATGGATCTCGTATGTATACTCTGTTGTCATACTGATTTAATTAATGTGGAGCACAAAATAACAACATAGTAATAGAAATATTTTGGGTAACCATCAACTCAGATTTGATGCAAATACTGTTAATATGAACAATATTTTGAGGATTCAAGTGAATAATGTTTTCTGCAATATGATTTTTTTTACAGTTTCAGTGTGGTGAAATCACTTGGAATAAGGTTTTTTGAAAATATACAATGTGTAGTATATAAAAGTGATAACAACCACATACATGCAAAAGTCAATGCATGTTGCACTTTTGATAAAAATTGGTTGCTTGAATCATCCCTTCCTCATGCTAAACCAACAGAATTCTAAAATGCCTATTTTTACACTGTATAATTGTATGTAGATTATAAATGATAAAATGAATAAATATGGGACATTTTTGGATTTATGCATGTGTCGTTTCCCCCTCTCTCCTGTGCTCCCATAGCCAACATATTAGTTATGCAGCAAATTAGTTTTCCATTACATCCAATCCTAAAACATTACTTCCTTACAAAACAGAATTCCATAATATGGTTAAATCCCTGTTTGGAATCCTGTTTTGTAGGAGAGGTATATTGACTACCTCACCATATGCAATGGCAGAGGAGATGTAAAACCAAAGATCTGCCAGATTTGTTTGCATCTGGCCCATAGCTATGGTGGGGCTATTGTGGGCTCTGCCCCTTCCCTAAGGGGCCCATACTTCTTCCCAAAAGCATTTAAAAGGATCCTTTAAATGCTTTTGAGAAGAAGCAGGGGTGGTGCATGCCCCTCACCCTCCCCTCCTGCAAGATTTAAAGGGCCCTTCAGCTGCTTGGCAGGGAGCTGAACATCTAAAGGGCCCTTTAAAACTTGCAGGGGGGAGGGAGATGGGCACACACTACCCCCTTCATTATGGCAAATGGCAGCCCCATCAGAAAAAAATTTGCCCCACAAACCACAAATTTCTGGCTATGGGCCTGGTTTACATCAGTGGCAAACTATCTCTTGCCATTGTGTTTGCATCATGCCTGAGGCTGGTCTAGAGAATTATCATCATTTAGAATGAAGTCAAGATTTTTGTGGTTAGGACATTGCATATTACATCTTGGGTAAGCATTCTCACAATAGTGCCATTTGAGAGGAGGTACAGCAGAAACACCATGGCCAAGATGGCCTAGGCTAACCTGAACTCATCAGATATCAGAAGCAAAGCAGCATTGGTCCTGGTTAGTACTGGGATGGGAAACCTCCAAGGAAGACCAGGGTTGCAATGCAATGGCAAACTACATCTGAATTTCTTTCGCCTTGTAAACCCTGTGGGGTCACCATAAGTCAGCTGTGACTTGATGGCACTTGACACACATATAGCCAAAACTGTCCAAACAGTATGCATAGTATTCCCTCAAAAGGCCACATGGTCACTGTACCACTGTTTCCAAATGGCATGGTACGGTTTTTCTGACATTGCTATTAATTACAGATATCACTAACCTTAATAATGTTTGCAAAAAGCACATCCTTCTTTCCTTTTCAGAAGCCATTTGGGACCCCAGGCCTTCCAGTAGGTGCTTATTACTGAACAATAATACCAATGATATAGAGTTTCGAGTTTCACCCCTACCAGAATTCACACAGGAATATCACTTCAACGGGGGAAGGTGTATTTCTGTACTCTCTGGCCCAGTGTCAAGTGTAAGCTAAATTTGAGTTGCAAGAGATCTTTTAGCCTTAGTGAAAAAGAAGCAAAATCCCATGTGAAAGGAACCAACTACTGATTTCAGTATTCCAGGTTGTTAGTGCACACAGCCCGTATGGACTCATTTGATTGTTTAAAACCCTGCCAGCCAGAATTTCTCATGAATCTTCTTTTTGTCTCTGTTTCCTAACACCCCAACATGATTTGACTGACTTACATCAGAGTACTTTAACAATTAAAACCCCAGACCCAATACTGATGCAAGTGAGAAATTCCCTTTGGAAGGCAAAATGGTTCATTTCTCTTAAAATCGTAATCAAATTCTTCATGTCTCACCCATGCATTATCTGTCTTTCTCCCAAACCTGGTGTATATCTCAACTGTTCCTGGCTGCTCTGACTTCTGACCTTCTTCAGTACTAGCAGTATTCTGGGATCCCTGCCCAGAGTTGCTACAAACCAAACAAGCTTTGCCTAAGTCAGATTCAGAGCAAACACCCAGACCAGAAGGACCCAAATCAATAGAAACTGTGTCCTAGAATCTCTGCCATCATTTTCCAAATGAACAGAAAAGTGTCCCACCAAAGCCCTCATGTTAGTTCTGTAGGCCTCTGGGCTCATAGATATTACATTCATCAAGGCCTGCTGAAATACATATACGTCTAACACGAGGATTTGCTAATTTCCAGCAGGATCTTGTGCTCTCCTGGAAATAAAGGGAGATGTACAAGGCAGCAAGGGGAAAATGTTTTGCGTCCTCACTCATGTACTGAATAGCTAGACACTACATGTATGATACTGGTATACTAAACAGCTTGATGTTATGGATAAAGCTGTTTCAGATTTATCAATGGAATGTTAGGATGAGGTAAAAGATTCTCAACAGTTTTTTCACATGATTACACACTGCCCTTTTATATAGTCAGTGCAAGATCCCTGAATTCAAACAGCATCTTTATTCTGTGTTGGTTGGCAGTGTACCAACATGGAATAAATATGCAAGTTACCAAAAAGGAAAAAAGAGAGCAAATTTGTGAGTTTGACTGGATAATATTACTTCACTGCTTATTTAAAGCTCAATCCTGTTCCTTCTAACAGTATCAGAACATAACTTTATCCACCATGGTTTGGGTTCTGAATTGCTTAATGTTAGATCTTAGTAGTACATAGTTTTGCTCATTCTTTGGCTTTGGACAGGTTAATTATTGAATGAGTTCATTTACAAGAAAAATTAGGCACAACATTTATGGTTCAAGATGGCCCATGCTGTTTTGACTGTAGATAACTTCCTAAGTGGGGGTCACAGGTATAATAAATGAGAACATTTCTCCTGGAAGTCATATGTCATGCAGAAATGCCCAGTAAAGTCTGCATGACAACACCCCCTCCCACTTTTTCTGCAAATTCTTCATTAATCTTTTGTTTGTTTCCTGTGGTCCAGCTGTTTTGAATGAGCATACATTGGAAGGATAAATGCAGACCATTTGTGTTGCTGTAGTGTAGAGCAACACTGCCAGTATTCTGTTGAAGCTGACATTGGTTTGAGAACCAAGAAAGCATTAGTTCGACAAGCTAATGGAAACAGGAAAATAAACAAATGAAAAAATCATGGTAATTTGAAGTCAAGCAAAATTGCTGCCAATGAACAGGATTAATGTATTTGACACATATGTATTCCATGGTGCTTTAATAAAGGAGCCTAGTCAAAAATAAAATATATACAAGCAGGAGCCTGCAAGGAATTGCAAGTGGGAGAAGCAATTTGGGCATTCTGATACCCAAATCTCTTTCCAGGATTATATAAGTCTCTGAAGCTTGACCATTTCTTTTCTCCCCTTAATTGATTCTCAGATTCTCTCAAGATTTCATAGCTCCTTGTCTGCCTGGGTTTAGGTAGGGAGGTGTCTTTTTTATTTTGGTTAGTTTATAATGTCCCATTATCCTGAATACATGGAGAATCTCCTCAGTGGGTTTCGGTGAGGGAGAATGTTTTTACCAAATGTAATATGTTCAGAATAGTTAATATATCCCAGACATTCTAATGATGTCATGAAATCTAACTAATTAATGTTTGTTTATTGTAACATACATAATATAAAAAGTAACCCTGAAGCCAGGCCAGTTTCATGGCAGGTTAATTACTCTACAATTTTAATAGTTTATGTGCTTTGAACTACTTGGTCTTATAGGCATTGATTCTGTCTGTCTGATCACCTCTGTCATCTGCTAAGTACATGTCACATCACAAAAATTAACACAGTGGCAGGAATCTGTGATCTTGAGTGGGGAGAAACTGGAGGGGGGTGAGGTTACATTGCCTTCTTTAATTGTTTCATTAAAATTTGCCCTCACCTGTTATCCCCTCAAGAAGGGATAATACATGGTATAGAAAATGTGTATATTACCTCTCTTTTGGCATTTACAAACAGCAACCCAGAAAAGAATGAATTAGCAGAAGTGTTGAGGAATCCTATTTATGCACTTTCTTCTCCAGTGTTCAGTTATTAAAAACTTTTCTTGGAAATTTTTTAGCCCTGTGCAGATGGTGGGAACATACACATAGAGTAACACTAGCTCCACCTGAATCAGTGCCCCCACAGTCTCACATGCTGGAATGTTTTTATTCATTATTCATTTAATTTATACCCTGCCCTATCCCACGAATGGGCTCAAGGTGGCTTACAACATAAAACCCATAAATAATAAAAACAATAAAACCATAAAACAATAGATGGCACGATAAACAGTAACAAAAACCCATGCCTCATATCAGGCAGAAATAGATTGGGTAAAGCATGGAAACTCTTGCTGTTTATTCTCTCTTTGTGCTTGTACAGTTGGATGCAAACTTTAAATGAACAATAGCAGCTAGATTGCATTGCCTGCTCTTTGTGCCTGCATAGTCTATTCAAAAAGTGATCACAAGAACAGAATACACGCTTATCCAGATTAATGACCAGAAAACATAGACGTGCTGAGGTGCTTAAATAATGGCCAAGTTCAGACTGGCAGTTTGCCCTGATATAGGCACATTTCAGAAACGTTCCACAACCGGATTAAAGGGGCAGTTCACATAGGCACATCTGTCAGGCGTTCCCCACCCATACTCAACCCGTCTTGTAATGCTTTGCTCCCGAGTTTAAAAGATACCTGGTGAAAGTGGTATCAAACCCTGGAAAGCACGATTATCCCGCATCCATCCCGCACCAACAAAGTGTGAATGCCAAAAGCCGGGTTTTTCTTATGCGTTTATGTGCTTATGCACATATCTCTAGATTGCCAAAAAGAAAGCTGTGCCTTACACCCGTGCTTCCGGGCCAACAGTGTGAACGCTTCCTTGCGCCTCCTCCCAGTATGCTCCCCCATCAGTCGCTGCAGTGTGAATGGGAAAACCCGGAACAGTTTGTTCCGGCTCTTTTTTGCCACGACTCCCTCCCACTTCAAACTGCCAGTCTGAACTTGGCCAATGTGTTAGTTCAGAAGTCTAAAATGGGATTCCCCCCCCCTTTTGCCTTTGGAAAAGTAGAATTGGCAGTGGCAAATTGGGGGGGATGTCTGATGTAAGGAAGCAATGTAATCATTCTAACTGGATTCATCTGAATTCACTTGTATGTATCTCAAGAACTCAGTGAATTATTGGCTTCATGCCTACAAATCATGAGCAGTACATGGCCCAAATCAGGTGACCAAGCATGATTATATACATGGTTCTGATTGCATAAGCTTCTTTGCAGTCATGAAATCCAGTGCACAAGGTGAGAGACAATTAGTGGAAGAAATTCATTTGTAGTGCATATATTCAAAACATCAGAAGGATTTTATTAGCACTATACATCATTAAGTTTTAAATGCCAGTTATAAGCCTCCCGTGTTTCAGGATTTGATTTGATTTAATGCCTGCTCAGTTGATCTCTTTGTATACTGGATGTTAATACTTTAGTTTCCTTTAATTGTTTGAATTTGATTAATTGTTCTTAATTGTATTGTTAGTTTCCTTGGAGACCAGCTTCACATGGAATATATACTGTTTTTGCTTTGTTCAGTTCAAACGCTCTGTATCTGCAGAATCTTCTGTAAGACGTGAGAGATGATGTCATTAGGAGTGTACTGTTGCTTTTAGTTGTAGCACATAATTATTTTTATATAAGGTATATATTTTAAGCATGGGCTTATGTTTTGAACCATAAAGATATTAATCCTAGAGCAGAGACCCTTCAGAGGCAAGAGCAATAAATCCGCTGTATGTCCACTTACAAAAAAAGAGAAGTGATTAATATACTCAAGAAAAATGATTTGTTGTAACCAAGCCTCACTGAGGGGAAACTGGCATATGTCCTCTGGCAGCAATTTATGCTTTACATTTGGCAAGCACCAGATTTTCTCAGATATTACAGGCTATCATTACTATAATTGTGTGGGCCATATGGGCTTGTTGGCATTCCTAATGAAAGGGGAAATTAAATAATGGTTTCTTTATTTTATGGAAGCAAAGAAAATATTTCTTGTTTCTTTCCTATTTTAGCTCCTAATGTGGCTCCTTCTGAAGTTGGAGGAGGGGGTGGCAGAAATAGAGAACTGACAATAACATGGATGGTGGGTATTGTAATGGAACAACACTTATTGTACCTTATGTTATAAAGCATCACATTCTTGTACATTGAATCAGCAGGGGATCTCTTGTTAGCATCTTGGATTTGGGTCATCTCAAAAATATTCAGCTTGTTAAATTAGATAATACTTCATTTTACATACATGTATTATTTTCAGATAAGAGGTTAAATAATAATTCTCCCTATAATTTCTGATATGAATATGAACATGTCCTTAGAGCGCATTTGAATGCAGCTGAAGCAGCAAGATTTTTTGTTGGTTTGTGCTTCCCTTTCTGTATACAGGAAGCTAGGATGGCTGGTGCTGCTGAACAAACAGGGATTTCTGCATTCAGACATCACTACAAACCACAGTTAGTATAAATCACATTTTAAAAGCTAGGTACAAAGCATGGTTTAGAATCCCAGTTTAACACCTATAAAAAAACACAGTTGATTGGGCAACCTGTATTTAGACATCCCACTAATCTGGTTTAATCAAATCATGGTTCAAAAACTGTCATTTATTGTGATGTCTGAATTTGTATTTTAGCAGTATACCAAACTCTGTAAATTACTTGACTCTTCTAGTGGTCTTAAGGTAGTCACTTTCACTGTCAGTGCTATCCTAAGCAAAGTTACACTCTTTGACATCCACTGAGGTGAGTGGGCTTGGATGGGTGCAGCTTTGCTATCTATGATTGTGTATGGCTCATAGGCTGCACTCCACATTTCAACTATTAGTGTTTGGGGAAATATATTCATGAATCATTATCAAAATTGCAGACCATCATGCATCCTTCTACCATCCACCATAAAGTGAATATTTTGTCCCATATAATTGTAATTAACAGAGAGGGAAAAACCATGGTATGTATCCTGGCAGTTAAGAATTCACTTAGCAAAAACATGTACAAAGATTAGTGTATCAAGTCCACTGGAACTGAATGTGAATTGGCACAGGTGCCATGCTTATGTTATTGCAATATCTTCTTGATACAGCAATCATACAGCATAAAGTATTTCCATCTGTCTTATGTGCATCTCCCTGTATCTTGTTCATATATGACCACCATAGTTCATTGCTGAGTAAGTGCCTTATCACTGATAAGCACTGTATCATTGTGACACAGTACTGATGCGTTTGGACTTTTGCATAGTCTGTGTTTTGAAGGATGTGTTTAACCTTTTACATAAAACCACTCATCCTTTCTTTTTTCATTGGTTCATTCTATACTCTTAAGTATTGTTTCTTAGTCATATTTTCTTCATTAGTGATTAATGGTTGATGTCAGGTGTTTCAAGATGATGTATATGATTTTTGATGAAAAAGTAAATGACAGAAGAAGCTTCCTAAATTGTCTTCATATTAGCAATAAATATAAGGATTGTATATTGTTCTATAAACCCAAGAATATTGGCTTTAGGATAAGCCAGGAGTACACACACAAAATAATCTGTACAATTCTGTTTGCTATCCCATTGCTCATTGCTCAGAATATAATTCTACTGCAGTTCCTACTTTCAAATAAACATTTGCACTGATAATGTGTTCCTCTTGGTGGATGGCAGCTTAAACCCAAGATAGGATTGAATATCAAAAAATATTGTTTTAATATTAACAACATTAACAATAACCACCACTGAAAATGCCATATCTCTAGACACCACCCACCCCAACTCTAAAGATGAGGGCACAGAGAGCAGGTCTTGGGAGGCAGATGTTAATTGACAAGCTTGACAATATGAGAGGAAATGGTCCTTGAGGTTCTATAAACCCTATAGTTACAAGATTTACTCCAGTGCCTTTCTAATGTTTCCATCTTTTTAAAGTACAAGCAACCATATAGCTATATACTACTGAAAACAAACAGAAGACTTAAGGTAAAGGTTCCCTTGCTCGAAAGCCAGTCGAATCTGACTCTAGGGTTGCGGTGCTCATCTCTATTTCAAAGCCGAAGAGCCAGCGCTGTCCAAAGACATTTCTGTGGTCATGTGGCCAGCATGACTAAACACCAAGGTGCACGGAACGCTGTTACCTTCCCACTGAAGTGGTACCTATTTATCTACTTGCAATTTCTTGCTTTCGAACGGCTAGGTTGGCAGGAGCTGGAACTAGAGACGTGAGCTCAGTCCATCATGCGGCGCACTCGGGTCTCAAACTGCTGAACTACCGACCTTCTACAGCCTGCAATTCAGCATCTTAACCTTAAGACTTAAATATTATATAAAGATGAATTTTAGAATCCCACTTTGCATAGTAGTTTAGAAAAATATATACCTTATTGTTGAGTTGTCTTCGTTATTGGATAACAGAAATAGTCTACTAAAATTTATACCACAAACTGAAAAATATTGACAATGGTTGACCTCCAAAAACATGAACAAACTGTGGTGACACATCTTGTGTTGCATGTAAAGACTCATGCCCATAGCTGTGCTGGCATTGCAAGGACTGGATAATTTCCAACTGTGACTAAATTTTTAAAATTATAACCAGGGGGAGGGTGACTAATGCAAGATCAGAGAGTACCAAAATAAGATCACTTTGTTCTTTCACATGGACCCAAATAGATTTATATACCAATTATTTCTCTCAGCTAATGGGAGTTTTTCTCCTCTGTTCTGTAACGGATGGTTCATATAATCTGTAAAAAAATAGGTGGGCAGGATTTCATTTCCGTGATCTCCTTTTAAGTAATTCCTGATGGGCCTTCTGCATGTATAGCTAGAGACTTTTAAATAAAGAAATAAACATTTAAGTATCTTCTTGTTCAGTGTGAACAAATAGGTTCATGTGAGGATTGTGTCGGTTCTGTGAGATGCTACTCTATGGCATGAGAACAGAATGTAAGGTAGATGGTACATTTAGAGGACAGGTTGATTCATTAACCCCCAAAGTCAAACAATAGGTTTATGAAGTTTCTTCTCATCAGCTATCACTTCCAACTAATAATGTTGCTGAAGTTTATTAGTACCTGTTCAGAATATATATAGTTTAACATGTTAGTATGTATTACAAATTGAGTGTCATTTTTGTGAGAAACATGCATATTATGTGCTTTTGGTAGAAAACCTGCCTGTGCATTTTACTCAAAAGTAAGTCCCATGTTGTTCAGTAAGGCTTACTCAGAGGTAAGTGTACATAAGATTGCAGCCCAATGATACAGTCCTAAACACACTTCTAAGTCAGTGGCCATGAGAAGATTTAACTCTGTTTAAGACTGAAATGCACCTCCATTAGTGTTATGGACATTAATGGCAGGGTTTAACAAATTTTCTCCACCTCCCCAATATACAAAGACTCTGAAGCAAGCCTAGGGAAGTTCTGGGGCCAGGGGAAAAGGAAAACATCCTATTCACAAGCCTCTGTATTAAATACAAAATTAATTTAAGGCTTAGGCTTCTGAGAGGGATGTGTTTTCTGTAAGCTAAAAAGATCATGGGGGAGGGGGAAAACTAAAGGACACAATAACAGAGGAAATAATAATGGGGTGTCTGGGCTAAGAAGTGTCCTGGAACTTGGTCGGAGAAACTTCTTTTCTCCAAGGCTCTGGAGTTTCCTTAAATTTACACACTGCTGCTGGGAGCCTTGATACAGCTTACAAAAAAAGAGAAGTTAAGGAGGGCTCCTTAAATTTACACACTGCTGCTGGGAGCCTTAAAAACAATCCTTCATCAATGTTTGCTTGGCACTTCTGAGTTGTCATAAATGTCCATAACTTGGACATAGAATTGCTTTTAGCAGTCCAGTCTGCACATTGCAGAGTGTTCCGTTGGATGACTAGACAGTTTGGGAATCTTAAAATGTGTTTTAACCATCTTAATCTACTCCTCCAAAGAACACCTAAAATAAGACTAGTGATGGGCAAGTTCTTCCCAGTTTAAGTTGTGTCAGCAATTTCAAATTGTTGTTTGCAATTCAACTCTGTATTTTCTTTGAAGTATTAGATTAAGACAGTAGGATTTAGGATTAGTATACATGTTAGTTTCTACAACTACTCTCTGGCCCCGGTCACACGGGAGGATTTGCCACGCGAGAGGGACGGATCGGGGGTGCAACATCTGGGAAGCAGCGCGCACCTGTCCCCGATTCGTCCCTTCCAGGCAAAACTGTGCATAAAAACCCCCCTAGAAAACACTACTACCTACCTGAAAATCCGCTGCAGGGACGGGCGTCTGATCGCCGGCGCACCTGTCTCTCCTGCAGCATGCGAGGTCCTGCCGAACTGCGCATGCACATGCATGCGAAGCAGGCTGGCCTCACTCTCCATTCCGTGGCTTCCTCCCGGCATCTGATCGTGCCGGGGAGGACCTGTGCGGTGGCTGGGGAGATCTGTCTGATCCCGCCGCCACGCGTCTCTTTTGGTGCGGCTCAAAAAAGCCACACTTTGGCTGCACCTATTTCCCCCAGTGTGACTCTAGTAAGTTTGTTTTCACATGACTGTAGCAAAAAGAGGTACAACCATAGATTTCTTCCTCTGAAACTTTTCTTTATCATTGTGCATTATTTTCACCATTGTGGGTCATATTTAAATGAATAAGTGAACATGGCAGAATTGCAAAGACAGCTTTAAAAATGAACATATCACCAGTGGTATTATATGGCTCAGCTGTTGGTCTTTCTAATCATTTGTTCTAAAAACTCTTATTCTCTGTTTACTCAGCCTTTGCCAAGAGAGTATCATTTTGGTCATAATTTTGGATACATAGTATCCTTCACGCCCTTTAATCAAAACTCCTGGAAGAGAGTTACAGTTCCTCAGCCGGATGCTAGTCGATATGTCCACAAGGATGAGTCGATGCTTCCTTCCTCACAGTATCAAGTAAGAGTGAGAGCATTTAATAACAAAGGGGAAGGACCTGACAGTATTACTGTTTCCATCTCTTCAGCAGAAGATGGTGAGTAGAAATTGTGCAATGAGAGTCAAGAGTTGATTCCAGTGGTATTCTGGTGGCCAACTTGTACAAAAAAGATTATTTATTTTGGAAAGTTCTATGCCATCTCTTCAGAGTTGATTTAAATAATAAATTATCAACATAAAAACTACAAGCCATGAAAATGGCCGAGGGACAGCATAAAACTTTTCATAAAATAGATCTCTGACCAGAAGCAAACCATTAAAAACTGGGGGGGGGGGGTTTAATTAAAACCCATGGTCCAAAAGATATGTTTTGGTCTGCGATCAAAAATACAGTTAAGTAGATGCCAGGCAAGCTTCAGGGGAGAGTGCATTCCAAAGGCAAGGTGCATCCACAGAATATGTCCTGTCCCTAGTTGCCACTTGTCTTACCTCTGCAGAGAACAAGGCTTGAGAGGCTAATCTTAACTGGTGGGCTGGATGGTACAGGGGGAGAAAGTCTTTCAGGTACCTTGGTCTCAAGTTGTTTAGGGCCTTTATGGCCAAAACATCACTTTCAATTTTGCCCAGAAACAGATGGGTGGCCATTACATGTCTCCAAGAGCCATGTTACATGGAAGTCATGGGTTTACATCACAGTTCATGACAAGAAAAAGTACAGCTTAAAGTAGATTATCCATTTTAGTCAGCTGTGTATCATTGGAGCCAATGCTTCTGATATTAAAATCAACTATTGTTCAGACTAGAAGCTGCTACAGTTGAAAATGAATTTAGCTGCTTTTGCAGTATGCTGTGCTATTGAACTCATCATGTGACCTTACTGTCCGCTGCTCTGCTTTTTAGAAAGATAGTGCTAACACATAAAGCCTTAGAGAATGGCTAATTCATAATCTATTGGACACTATATCATAATTAAATACAGGGGTCTTGTTGTAGAAAAAGAGCTGCCGGAGCTCATTAGCATAACTCATTAGCATAACTTATTTGCATATGCTACACCCCCTGACATCACCGGAAGTGACAGAAGGCCACACCCCCTGACATCACCGGAAGTGTGTCAGAAGGCCCGGCTACTTACCCTCCTGCTTCATCCTCATTCCCAAACGGAATGAGGATCGAAGCAGAGGGCGGGGTAAAGAAGGGGGCGGGGCTTCACCACGTGACCGCCCCGCCCCCTAGAGGTTCTCTTCCGGAGCTCCGTACCTGAGAGCTCCCCCCCGACTAGAGCCCTGATTAAATATGCTCAAAACATCCCCTAAATTGCAGTTCTATAATATAGATATAATCCTATTATTTTCCTTCTCTTGGATAATGAGTATATTGTTTTGCATGTGACCAGAGATGGTAGAGAAGGCAGATGAGAACACAGACTCATCGCCAGTGTTCCCTCTAAGCTGAGTTAGTGTGAGCTAGGTCACAATTTTTTAGCCTCTAGCTCACACATTTTTGTCTTAGCTCAGGAAGGAGGGCTCCAGAGCAAACTAATTTATGCAGCAGCCAAATCACTCAATCACAACTTTAATGCCAGTAGCTCGCAAAGTAGAATTTTTGCTCACAAGACTCCACAGTTTAGAGGGAACATTGCTCATAGCCAATGGGAAGCAAGTTTGAAGCTTCTGGCAACTGAAGCTGGCAGGCCCAGCTTCCATCATCCTTTATATTAGGTGCAGCACCAACCAGCTCTTCATAATACTGTGGAGCTAATTAGTTGCCTTTGAGATACAAGTTGGAATTTCCTCCCATTGATCCAGATCAGCTGTTGAAATTAAGGGGTTTTATTTATTTACGTATTTCAACATTATTATTCCACTTTTTTCCTGCAAAGCAAGACTCAAAATAGTTTACACAAATGAACAGCCACCAAAAATCACAATACAATCATAAAACAGAAGCAGCAACCACAAAGGGGTGCTGAACAGCTGGAAGAACTCACCCAGAATCTGGTGCTCAGAGGTGATCTGGGCACAATTAGTAAACTCCAGAGCAGCCTCAGTAGACCTCTGCCACAAAACAGATCTCTCTGCCATCGTTAATGTATCTGCCTGTTTACCACTTTGGCTGAACTTACTTAAACTATTAGCATGCCTGCTGCCTCACTCAGAAATGATGGCCATATTTGGGACTGGCTAACTCCAAAGCCCCTAGTTTTATCCACTTCACTCCTGAGCACAGCTTACCCCATGCAATTTGAGTCCTACCCCCACCCCCTTTTTCACAGAAAGAAAATGTTTATTTCTGTGCCATCCTTGCTTGCCCTGTGCCTGTGATCAGAATTCTTTTGCCTTTCGCTCATGTCTTGAGAGCTGGTGAACCCCCCCCCCCCTCTGCATTAAACATAAATTACACAATCCCTTTTCCTTAAATAAATTTCTGATTTTAAATATTTATCTCTCTAGAAATTCCCTTAAACCTTCCAGATTTTCATTACACAGTGAAGGACCTGCATATGGGCTGTTGCTCTAACTGGTATTTTAAGGGAGCTTGGAAATAGGTGTTTTATATCAGTATTTTCCAGATATAATCAGGTCTTCCAAATATGTCCAGGATTTTTCACTGAAAAACGGGTCCCAAAAAATCCCAGAAATATTCAGGATTAACCAGGAATACTAGGAACTGGTGTTTACAGGCTCCCAGGACTGTTTTCCCCTTTGCCCCTCCTGTTTTGCCCCCATGTTTCTGTGTCTCCTGAGGCTTGGTATTGGCTTGTCAGGCTGCTTTAGCTTTGCTGGAGTTGGTTTGTGTCAAGTTCACAGGTCTTTGTGGGTTCTTGCACTTTACATTGAGATTCTCTCATTTTACATAGGTCAAGGTTCTCATGTTTCACACAGTTTCAGATTCCTGTGTTTCACATAGTTTCTGGTTATTGAGTTTTATGTAGGTTCAGCATCTTGGGTTTTAGATTGGTTGGTCTTAGCAATGGCTTGCAATAGCCTTCCTATGGGGAGAGATTCTTGGGTTTTACATTTTTCCACACCTTTTTCTCCCTTCTTCATAGGAAACAGTAGAGGACGGCTAGGGCCAAGTTGTTCAGGGGCCCATAGAATTGCTCCAATTGACTTGAAAATTTTGGGTTAGCAGTTAGTAAAGTTAATTTACTAATCATTGTAGAACTACTACTTTAGCTTTTATCACTGTACTAGAAATATCTAAATATCTTGTGTTTAGAACATCTACATGACAATACAGACTTTACAGGCAATTGGAAAATCCTCAAATGCTTTACAAAGTTTTAGAATGAAATGTGTGCTATACCACAACTACATGCAGGCTGTAGTTCTCAGTACTGTCATTTATTTCAGCATACATTTTTGCAAAAAAATACACACATACACTCTTAATTATTAGCAGTAATAGTTACTTCTGTTGCTGAACTGGAAAGTGGATTCACAAGCCAATGGGGTCCTCTGATAAGCACATGTGTTCAAAAGATCTAGAAGGGAACCTCATGATAAAAGTTTCAGATCATCAGGCTGGCATATGCTAATTGTAATGTTCTTGGGAAAATCCACTCTCAGTGATTTTGTTTGAGCTTTTAATAACCCTGTCCTTACTGAAACCATAGCAAAGGGAATTAGAACTACATCCCCCAAGTTGGGAGTCCCAAGAGACTGTGGGGCAGTAGCAGGGAGTCAGTTAAACTGTTAATCAGTTAAAGTATTAAACAGGAAGCAGCTTTGGAATTGAAAGGGGGTTGGGGGGAAAGGGAAGGCCTGGACATCTCTTTGAATTACAATTGATCTCCAGACTACAGATATCAGTTCCCATGGAGAAAATGGTTGCTTTAGAGGGTGAGCTCTATGGCATTATACCTCACTAAAGTCCTTTAACAAACCTGGCCTTTCCCTTAGTATTGCAAACCTCCAGGCAGCACCTGGAGAGCTCCAAGATAATTTCTCCTGGAGAAAATGACTGCTTTGGGCAGTGGACTCTATGGCTGCTGAGATCCCTCCTCACCCCAATCCCTGCCCTCCCCCGGCTCTACCCCTCAAATCTACAAGTATTTCCCAACCCAGAGTTGACAAACCTGTAACTGGCTATGAAACCATTTTCCAGATCCTTGAAACCCAGAAAACATGGCATGTGGCTCTCCTCCCATACTACCTACTTGGGGCAGCAAAATTACTTGAGACAGCCCTGTCTTATAGCTAAGCAGAAGGAATTAAATATGGCTCACCTCCCTCTGTTTTCCCCTTCCCTCTGCTGCCCCACCAGCCACAGCCTGGACACTCACCTGGAGCCTCTTTCTAGAGCTCATTGTATTTCTTCCCACAACGGGCCTTACTCCTAGTTATATTTATTGCTCCTTTTTTGAAAGAAAAAAAAAGCTTGAAAAAAGTCCCCTGGTGGCAGTAGGGAAAAGGCAGCCAAGTAGGGGAAAGGCTAGTAAAGTATAGAGGCAACTTCCATGTGGTTACATTTGCAGCTGCAAGGACAAGTGCACAGATAATTGTGTCAATGGGAAAGCAGTTTAGGTTTCATTCAGAATCTTTTAAAATCAGGAGTTTTGTATTACAAAAGTAGCAGCCAGTTAAAGATCCACAGAACAACACATTGCACATGATGTATCTTCATTCTTTTATTTGAAGTAACTTGTATTATTCATGTTCATGTCTTCAGCTCCCACAGAGAAACCAAAAAGAGTGGATGTAAAAGTCAGATCAGCCACTGAAGTCACTGTTATTTGGCAGCAGCTTACCCAGCAGATTGATGGGTATGAGGTGAGCTAAAGCAGAACAATTGAATAGTATCACTTGAACAGGGCAAAAAGCATAGCTACCACAACAGAAGATGCTTAATCTGGATTTCATTAGGCACCCAATGGATCAATGTTAGGTTGAAATTAATTTAAAGTGATGGAAGAGCTGGATGGAAGAATGATCTGGGGCTCTTTTTTATAGTGCTTGACTAACAACAAAGAACCCTTGTTCTCCTGAGAGACAATCCAGTTTCCAATTATGCACATGACAAAAGTGGATTTTACTGAAATGGGAGACAATGGTTCTGTCCATTGAAAAGAGTTTGTTGTTTCCTGCTAGGAATGGGCACAAACCAGCTCATGAACAAAAAGTTTGTGATTAATTTTTGGTGGTTTGTGGTTGCGAAGCAGTGTTCACGAAGAACTTCCATGAATTTTAAGGCAGTTCACAGCAGTTCATGAAAAGCAGAAAGTGGGGTTTAAATGGCTCTGAGCCATCTAAACCCTTCTTTCTGCTCCCCATCACTCAGCTGTTTTTCACAGGGAAACCTCTGCTTGCTGCTCCCCACCGCTTTTGGCAGGGAGCAGAAAGCAGAGGTTTAAACGACTCGGAGCCATTTAACCCTATGTTTTCTGCTCCCTGCAAAAAGCTGCAGGGAGCAGAAAGCAGGGATCAAGAACTGATACAAACCAGTTCAGTTTGCAAACCAATCTCCCAGTATGTATTGGTTCATGGTTCAGCCAGGAACCACGAACCGAACCAAAAAAATTCTGTTCATGCCCATCACTGTTCACTGCCCTCTTCTTTCCCAATCTCGTTCCATTTTTCTTCAGCACTAATAGTTGGATGCAGCCCACCTTATCATTCAGTCTCACCTAATTCTGCATTTTATCACATGCCCTATCACATATTGCTTTTCTCCACACAGGGCCCATGATACCAAGCATAGATTTTTTGGTGGTCAAAGGAGACCACATCCTCCCTTTTTTTACCAGCAGAAAAGCCAGTTAGATCCAACCCACTGATTTGCTGTTATGTCCAGTTTAGTTTGGAAGGCAAGCATTTCCAGTTCTGCTTAAAAGTTTCAGGCAAATCTGAAATATTTTCTGTTCTTGACATTGTTTTCGAAACAAATCTCAGCCAAGTCATAAGTGTTGTTATTTAAATCTATCCTGTCTTGCTATTTACTCTAAAGAATGTTTATGATCTAATGCAATATTTCCACTTTGCATTTATGTTTACAGATTCGCTACTGGTCTGCTTATGAAAAAGAAATAGCTGCAAACAGAGTACAAGTGAGCAATCAGAATTTTTCAGTAAGGCTGGAAAACCTGAGGCCTGACACACGATATACTGTGGAAGTGTATGCCTTTAACAGTGCAGGCTTTGGCCCTGCCAGTAATAGAGTGTCCTTCACAACACAAAAAGCACGTAAGTAAAGTAGGTTATGTACTTTATCCTTAACTCTGTTGGTCAGGGTTCTACAGATTAGCAAACATTTCTGTAGAATCAAAAAAATTCAGTGCCATTTGCCTTGTACACAGAATGAATCACTAATAGAGCTATCTTAAGCAGAGTTTCACACTCCTAAATCCATTGACTTCAGTGGTTTTAGAAGAGTACAACTATATGCTTCAGAAGGTATCAAAAATGTCATAAAGAATGAAAATCAAGAACAAAATTTTAAGTATTGGAGAAGTTTTTATGCCTTAGTATCAGTGCTGTACTTTACACTGCAATGAGTGGACTCTAATTCTTAGTAAATTATTTTGTGCTTGTCTTTTGTCTGTTAGTTGTTACACTGTTTGAGATAAATCACAGAAGGTTCATCCAAAGAAGTGCTTCACTTGAAGAGAAAACCCATTCCTGTTTTCAAGCTGCTATGTTCTGTAACTTCATGGAGTTTTGTACTTTAAACTTTATATTTGGAATAGGATTACAAAGATTGATAAAATTAAACAAAAACCATAAGTAGAGTGTTGCGCAGAGCGTGTGTAGTGGTCCACAGACCAGTCTAAGCCACCTCAGCACCTTAGCAGACTTTCCAGCCTCCCAACTCTTACCAGTTCTTTGCTGTTCTGCCCCTCTATAGTAACCACACTGCACAGTCCAGTGGTACACTATATACAAGGGTTTATTCACAGAATTTACAGTCAAAATGCTTCGCCAGACGCTTGTTACCTCCGAAGAGAGCGTACATGGCTTCTATACAGACTTATATACATAGCAGCACCAATCAGCAACAAGCTGAGTCATGGTGACTCTATACTGTCCAGTGCCAGCCATAACCAGTTAGAACAGGCTTATCAGTCCACCTGCTGACATGTAGCTGTCACTGAACTGTCAGTTAGATCCTAGTGATCTTCCTGCTGTCTGATTAACTTCCAACATAGAGTTTTCCTAGAAATAATGTGTGTGGAGGGGGGGTTATAATTGTATGGCAATTAATGTTTTATCAAGAGGAAATAAATGCCATGTGTTTTTTTTCAGCTCCAAGACAAAGACCAAAAATTACCAGTTATGTTAGATCTGGTTCAAATTACATCATCACCTGGGACCATGTCCGGTCAGATTCTAATGAATCAGATGTGAAAGGATATAAAGTAAGATCTATATAAAATGCTTTGACCTTTCTGTGTAATTTTAGCTGATATGGTATTTCATATGCCTTGCCCATTAATTAATTGAATCCATTGATGAATTAATGGAAAAATAACAAATTAATTTCTCATCTTGTTGACAGCTCTGCTTTGATAAAGATTCAGTTCTGGATTAATCTCTACAGTGGTTTTCCCCTCACATTCAATAAACATGGAAGAAGATAAAGATTTATGTGTGAAGGGCTAAAATTGTATGTGTGATGTGCTGTCAAGATGCTTCTGACTTATGGCAACCCTATGAATTAATGACCTACAAAATGTCCTATCATTAATAGCCTTGCTCAGGTCTTGCAAATTGAATGCTGTGGCTTCCTTTATTAAGCCAATCCAGTCGTGTTAGGTATTCCTCTTTTCCTGCTGCCTTCAAATTTTCATAGCATTGTTGTATTTTCCAGTGACTCTTATCTTCTCAGAATGTGACCAAAATACAATAGCCTTATTTAAGTCATTTTAGCTTCTTAGAGAGAGTTAAGGCTAGATTTGATCTAGAACCACTTATTTGTCTTTTTGGCAGTCCATGGTATCTGTAAAACTCTTTTCCAACACCACATTTCAAAGGGATCGATGTTCTTCCTGTCAGTTTTCTTCATTGTCCAACCTTCACACCCATAAAGAGTAATGTGGAATACTATAGTATGAATTATCCTGCTCTTGGTCACCAGCAACAGATCCTTACAATTAAGGATCTTTTCTACCTCTGTAATGGCTGCCCTTCCCAGTCTCAGTCTCCTTCTGATTTCTTGGGTGCAGTCTCCCTTTTGGTGGATGATTGAACCAAGGAATAGAATAGAAAATCTTTAACAATTTCAATTACTTCATCGTCAGTTGTGCAATTCTCCATTAGTCTTTTTGATGTTCAGCTGTAATCCTGCTTTGGCACTTTTTGCTTTTACCTTCATCAGTAGCCGTTTCAAGTCTTCACTATTTTCTGCCAGTAGTGTGGTGTCTGCCAATTTTCACTCCACATTCATCTAAATCTAATCCAGCTTTCCTTTTGATATGATCTGCATACAGATTGAACAGATAGGGAAATAAAATACATCCTGGTCTGACACCTTTGCCAAATGTGGACCATTCTGTTTTTCCATATTCTGTCCTAACAGTAACCTCTTTTCCAGAGTATAGATTGTACATCAGAACAATTGGATGTTGTGGCACACCCATTTCTTTTAAAACCAACAACTTTTCATTAGGGGTGGGTGCGACCAGAAAAATGGGAGGTTCATGGAGGTTCGAGGTTCGGAGGTTTTCTGAACCATGAAGCTCCATGAACTTTAAATGCTTTCGGAGCCCACCTTCAGGTTGGGCAAGCCCAACTGAGTTCCAAGAGTGAGCTCAGTCAAGTCAGGCAGCTCAACTTGACTGAGCTCCCAGAGTGCGCTCTGAAGGTTTTTATAAGCCTTATATGCCCTTATATGGCCAGAGCCCACTTCCAGGTAGGACCTGCCCATATTAGGGCCTGCCCATATAAGGGCATATAAGGCCTATAAAGGCCTTTGGAACTTACTCTTGGAGCTCAGTCAGGCTGGTCTGACCCGGAGTGCACTCAGATGGGGCCATGGGCCAGTGGTGGGCTCTGATGGCATTTAAATGCCTTCAGGGCTTATTTCCATGTGCCCTGCCAGACCCATTTAAATGTCTTCGGAGCCCAAGAACGTGTCTCTCATGAACCTCCATGAAAAACTTGGAGGATCATGGGTGGATCATGAGAGATGCATTCTCCTGAACTGGGGCTTGTTTGGGGGTTCATGTCCATCCCTACTGATCCAGAAGAATGAAGTTTGAGTCCAGTGGCACCATTAAGACCAACGAAGTTTTATTCAAGGTATAAGCTTTTGTGTGCAAGCACACTTCTTCAGATACAGTGAAAGAGAATTTCCTCAACCATTACATATAGAAAGAGATAGTGGGGGGGGGAGGTGCCAGGAAGGGCTAGTTAAAGTCAAGACAGAGACAGAAACAAAATCCATATATATAGGTAGAGGGTGAGCCGTAAATTATCATACAGCATAATTAAGTTGTTTAACAGATACAAGGATCAAACAGGAATAATAAGTTTAGTTTATATGGTAACCATTTGTTTGGATTCTGTTCTGGGGCAAAAACAGTAAAGGGGCAAAAACAGTGGAGGAAATAAATATGTCAGAATTTGAGATTGATGTATCCTTAATTATAGAATGCTGAGAATAATTAATTGAGACCCTGCCATCTGTCTCCTCTCAAGCATGGAGGCAACTTTACACCATCTTCTTTGGAGAAGTCAAAAGCTTTGCTGTAGTCTATGAAATACAAGCTGGTTTTCTTCTGAAATTCTCTCATATGTTCTGGTAACCAATGCAAATCTGCAATACGATCTCTAGTGTCTCTTCCTTTTCTGCATCCAGCTTGAACATCTGGCATTTCTTGTTCAATATATGGTAACTGTGTTTATTGTAAGATTTTGAGCATCACTTTGCTTGCATGAGAAATTAGTGTGATGGTCCAATAGTTGCTGCATCTTTGACATTATTTCACAGCATTGAAATATAGATTAAATGTTTCCGGTCTATAGGCTGTTGTTTTCTTTTCCGTATTTGTTGGCATATTCCTGTTAAAATTTTGATGGACTCTGTTATTGTGGCTCTATTGTTATCCCATCTACTCCTGGTGAATTGTTTCTCTCAATCACTTTGAGTGTAGCTTCAGTTTACTTTCTAAAATTGCAGGTTCTTCAAAAGATTCTTCTTTGAAAGATCTGTCATCCTTTCATCTCTTCTATATAGTTCTGAAAACTTCCTTCATAGTTTCCTACCATCAATGCTGCCAACCCTGGGTTAATATAGAAATGGTTGAATGAGCACAGTTCTTGGCAGAACATGAAAACAAGTATTTATCTTTGTAACCCATCTTCATTCCTATCATCCTATGCAAATCAACCAACCACCAGGAGGATTATATTACTCATAATGCTAGGGACTGATTCATGGCCCATTATGAAAAAATGCATGGAATCCATACTTCTGATACTTGTTTCTGGAGCTTAGTAGAAGATCCCAGGTTCTGTCTTCAAGAAGTCAGTGCCACTGGTAATGGCTGGTGATCTCTGAGGGTACTTCCAGCTGGGGAAGAAAATGGAAGGAACGATCTCAGACTGCTCCATCAAGGAGGCTAAGTAGGAGAAGCAGTCCTTTTGCTTCTTTCCATATAAGTCCACAAGTGAAGAGGTGACTCACAAGATTTCAGGTTACTATCATCAGTTTCATCTACCCACTCATCCATGCAGGCAGCAACAATTTACAAAAGGAATAAAAGGACTGGCTGTCCTACTGAAGCTTCACTCTGCATGCTGTGGTCCTGCCCATCTTTGACAAGCAGTAGCTGGGAGTCATCCACAAAGTAATCCATTGTTGCCTGTACTAAGTTCCTGGTTTAAAATGATGTGAGAGTAATGTACAAACCAAATCTTAGTGAGCTGCAGAGTAGGGCTAATTTTCATTTACTGCAAATATAAAACCTTTGAAAAAGAATAATTGTACTGGCCTATGATTGCATTAATCTATCATTTCCCTGTAATACACCATTATTTTTGGATTTATTGCATTACCTACACTCTGATCTCTTATTTAAATCCCTATGGGTTAATAATTAGCAAAAAGGATCTATTTTTGTACTGCAAAACTGAAAAGTATGCAGCTAAAAATGGCTAAAACTGCAGAGAAGTGTAATTACTTCAACATTCACATTACAACAAAGCAGTTTAGATCTAGACAGGCCTTTTGAAAGTTAAGCATGTGGTGACCAGAGACAGGGCCTTTTCCAGTGTGGTGCCTCTAGTTAGAAACTACTTTCACACAACAGTTTACCTGGTACAAAACATATTGAGCTTCAAGTGAAAACATATTTTTTTTGCCAGGCTTTTGGTTGATCCCCCCCCCCTTCTCATTTCTAGCTTCATTATGTTTTTGTCTGCAATGCCTTTTTGTTGCTGATTTTACTACTTTTACTGTTCTGCAACTGTTTTAATTGCTGCTGCACCAAGCAAGCATTTTAACTAAAATAAATACATTAACTGTGAAATTACGAATGAGAACATTTTACTTTTTAAAACAATTTCCATAATTCATTTCTGTTGGAAATGTATGTGTTTACAAGGCCTGACAATCCAGTCATTATAGGGTTAACTTGTTTGCCTAGTATTGCTATTGTTTAGACTGACCTGGAGGAGATACCTGGCATTGAGCCTATGGGGAATTAGCCCAGGAAAAGTATGAATTTTATTGTTACGGCGCTTAGCCAGCAATGCCCAGGAAAAGTAACTTCTGTTGGTTGTTTATTCCAGGTGACTTCCTTTCTAGGGGTTGAGAAGAAGGACAGATTCTCCATTATCTGTGTGTTATCTCTGTGTTAGTGTTGACTATAGACAGCTTAGAAAATGTAGTTGTTAGAGTTCTCTTTATTTGTAGTTTTCCCGTGTACCTTTACCCTTAGAAATAAAGGTTTTTAAAAACAAAGAAATCTCTTCTTTCCAATAGAAATAAAGGTTTTTAAAAGCAAAGAAATATCTTCTTTCCAATAGAGCAAGATCCATTGATACTCTGAGTATTAAACACTTTTAACTATTTTTACAACAATTTCTAGAATGAAATTTTGTTGTTTTAAACATAATGTGGGTTGACTGCTTGTACCATGTCACATTTTCTCTTTAAAAGGTGCTTTATAGACCAGACGGCCAGTTTAATGGTACACTGGTTACCACTGGTAAACATTATATAGCGGTTCCTGCTCCTGTTACGGGTCAATATGTTGTTGAAGTTCGAGTGCACAGTGATGGAGGAGATGGAGAAGTAGCTCAAGTAAAAATTCCAGGTAAGTGGGCATTAAATATGTCTGAATTTGAAGCTTCAGTTATACATTACATTTTCTGCCGAACAGATATAATTCTCTATAATACAATTCCAAAGCAAATATCTAGTCTTTTCCATTCTAAAATGAATATACTGTGTTGGAATTGAGATTCTTGAACCCTTGACGATTGGGGTCATATTCTGCTTGCTGGTTAAAAAGAGGAAGGTGATCTTTTGTTGAGAAGTTCAGCTGTTCATGATCAGTTTGGGGCTATTCAGTGGGATAGCTATTGTGTATGCAAACAGTACAATATAGTGCTATCCATGGTATTTCACAAATGTGTGTTCCCAGACATCCAAGTGGTAGTCCTAGTCCCCCCACTCCAACAGATCTGCTCCATCAAGGAGACAAAGAGAAGAGCCAGTCCTTTGCTACCTTCCATATAAAACCACAAGTGAAGAGGTGGTTCACAAGATTTCAGGTCACTATCACATGTGTGGGTGGCTCCCAGGCTTCAAGCAGGGTGGGAGGTTTTGCCCTGCCCAGTAATCACCTTGACCTTGGTGAGAGTATGGGCCCAGGAAGACGTAGTCACCTGCAACTTTGTGGGTGGATCCTGGGCCCAAGAAGGGTGAGCAGGTGGGCCTTGCCCTGCACTCACTTCGTCTGTGGTGGGAGGGTGGGCCTGGGCCTGAGCAGGGCAGGTGGGCAGGTTGGCTGTGGCCTGCAGTCATGTTTTCCATGGAGGGTGGGTGGACCTGGAGAGACACAACCATCCGCCACTGTGCAGGTGGCTCTTGGACCCCAGGCAGGGCAGGAGGGTTGGCCCTTCCCCATAATCACAGTCTGTCCACAGAGGGACGGTGGCCCCTGGGCCCCAGGCAGGGCAGGAGGTCGGCCCTTCCCCGTAATCACATTGTCTATCTACAGAGGGAGGGTGGGCTCAGGGAGATGCAGCCATCCACAACCGTGTGGGTGGCTCCCCACCCCCAGATAGGGCAGGCCCTTCCATGCAGTCCCATTGTCTGCGGAGGGACAATGGGCCTGGGGAATAAGGCTCCTACTGTACAGGTGAATCCTATGCCTGGGCAGGGCACTGTAGCCACCTCACCTTTGGGGGAAGGGTGGGTCCAGGGAGTCAGCCATCTGTTATGCAGGTGGTTCCTGGGGTGGGGTGGGAGGGCATTTATTTGGTTATTGGAGAGAGGATGGGCCCAGCCAGAGACACATCCATCCACAACAGTGATGGTAACAGATCTCTCCTACATGCTTCTGGTGTGTGTATCCATCCTGGAGAAGTCCACTGCAAGTTTGATGCCTCCCCTTTACTAGGTCACATGGGGTCCTTGCTGTCCATTCTATGGTCCAGAACCCACACTTGACAACATTCCCCCAGAAAGCACTTTCCTGGGGCACCTTGTTTGGGTGTCTGTAACTCGGACCTCCCCAAATCTAATCCACATGTAACTTGTAGGGAATGTAGGGGAGCATTTGGGAGAGGTCTGTCACAAGTTTGATGCCTCTAGCTCACACAGGGTTCGTTCTATACACTCCAGAAACCACACCTAACATCTCCCCCAAAAGCATTTTCCTGGGGACACCTTCACTGGGGGGCTGGAACTCACCCCCAAGTCCAACCTTCACCAAACTTGGTGGGCAGGTAGAGGAGTCTCAGCTGGAGATGCCATGTGATTTTGGAATCTCTAGAGCACTGGGGGACCACCCCACCACATCCCAAACTTAGCAAACCTGTTTGGTTTGGCAGAACAGCTGAGTTCAGGTTTGGGTTTTCCCAGTTTGTGCCCATCCCTACATATGACTGCAGGATGGGTCAGGGGAACGCAACCCAACTTGCATCACAAATATCATGCAGTTTAGCTATCATTTTCAGGCTACCCTTTCGAAAAGGGCTCTCATGGCCTCTGAGGAAATGATGGACCCTGCTTCTGTTTTGCAGACAGCTCCCACCTTGCTTGCCCCTCACCAAGCTGGTGGGAGAGAATCACACCCCTAATGAACTCATAAGGATTCTACTGCAAACAGGTCTTTTAACAGGAAGAATCATTCTCTGTCAAACAGAAAAAGGCCAAATAGTCTCTATCTTCTGCTCACCCACTATCAATCAGCATCACATGCAAAAACACTTTAGTCCTGGTCATAATTCTGTAAAGGCAGTCTTTCTCCTCTCCCTTTACATTTACAAGACTGTTGCATTTCGTCAACATATGGACCTTTTAATGTGTGTTCAGGCCAGGCCCGTAGCTACCGCATGGCCCACGGTTTTTATGGGTCCTTCCCTCTGGGTGGGTTGGGCTTACCTACCACCAGGAGCCCACTCAGGAGGGGCAGCAGGAGCCACAGCCCCCCCACCAAGCCTCCCCATTCCTGCTCTGCCTTCGCCAAGGCGGAAAAAGTCCAGTGCGAAGGGAAGTCCAGACAGCTATGGGAGCAAAAGCGGGGGCCGGGCAGAGGTGCCGGAGTTGGACAGAGCCCGGTTCAGCCCCTTTGGAGGGGGGTGGAAGAGCATGGGGCTGAGGCAGCCAATGAGAAAAAGTCCCGGCTGCTGATCTGGCTGTTGCCATTTAAAAGAGCCCCAGAACGCCGCCGGAGTGGCAGAAAGACGGAGAGGAGAAAATCAGTCTGACTCCAGCAGCTTCTTGTTTCTCATGCCGCTGACCCATCCTGCAGTCATATGTAGGGATGGGCACAAACTGGGAAAACCCAAACCTGAACTCAGCCGGGGGGTCGCGATGGCTGCATCCCCCCCCCATTTGGTTGGGACTTCCTTGTGCCAAAGAAGGCCCCCTGGAAACACCCTCAGCAGGATGATGAGGGACAAACAGGAAGAGGAGCGGAGCCTGAGTCCCCACCAGTGTTCCCTCTAAGCTGGGTTAGTGTGAGCTAGCTCACAGTTTTTTAGCCTCCAGCTCACCCATTTTTGTCTTAGCTCAGGAGGAATGGCTCCAGAGCAAACTAATTTATGCAGTAGCCAAATTGCTCGCTCACAACTTTAATGCAAATATTATTATTTATTATATTTGTTACTTATTATTTAGTTATTACTCAGAAGTATGAGCATGGCATGGCAGTACCACACAGACATATAATGGCAGGGCCCCCGAGAAAAACATTGGCCCCCTGAGCAAAAAGTTCTTAGCTACGGGGCTGGTTCAGGCCCTAGGGAAGATCAGACTGTCTCATCACAGAGGTTCAGCAACCCTAATTCCATTAAATTATGCTATGAGTTGGCTCATAAACCACTTTCAAGGGCAGCTAAGGATATCTCAAGCCTTCAGCAGAGGGAATCTTCTCTGTAAGCTCTGCTAAGCAGCTACTTGGGCCCAGACTTCCATCTTCCAAAACTGATGTATCCTGTGGCAGAGCTGTCCTCAACTTGTTATTTTCCTGCAATAGCTGTATCCACCTTCACGTGGGTCAGTTTGCAAATCTACACCCATTGGTATGATACACAAAGGCTAGGAAGAAGTTTTTTTAAAAAAGGTAGTTTACCTGTAACTGTCTTCCATTGGTCATCAGTATATTCATATGATCCTTCTATCCTGCCCCCAACAGGTGCACTGTTCTGCAGCATGTTTGAAAGGAACTGAATCACCCATTTGTGCATGGGTAATCCATAACTTAGGGGGAGGTTTTTGTACCTAAACCTTGCCATAGAAGTTTCTGAATTGTACCCCTGTGCAGGCATAAAGCCCATCAGTGTGAATGCACAGCTGACCCATGAAACAGCAGTAGTTATAGATAAGCAAGCTGTGTTTATTTATGGACACTTTATTTATTATTTTCGATTTCGATTTATATCCCGCCTTAAAACACAGTGCATAAATGCAGTACAATAAAATTCCACATAAAACAATATACAAGTAAAGTGCAGATCAATATAGATGGCGGTTGCTGTACAGTGATCCAGTGTAACCAGGCCAGCAACCATAGTTGTTCTTAGTGCTCATTCATCAGTGGCGGCTCCTAATCGAAATCCTGGTGGAAGAGCTCTATTTTACAGGCCCTGCGGAACTGTAAAAAATCCCACAGGGCCCTGATGTCTTCTGGGAGCTCATTCCACCAGTGTGGAGCCGCCACTGAGAAGGCCCTAGCTCTGGTGATGGCCAGTCTGACATCTTTTGGACCAGGGAGAGTCAGGCGATTTTGCAGTCCTGACCTCAGTGCTCTCGGGGGGATGTATGGGAAAAGGCATCTTAGGTAGGCAGGACCCCAACCAGGCTTTAAAGGTCAAAACCAGCACCTTGACGTGAATTCGGTATGCTATTGGCAGCCAGTGCAATGCTTTCAGCACGGGCCAGATGTGCTCTCATATAGAGAGACCCATCAACAGCCTGGCTGCTGCATTTTGCACTAGCTGCAACTTCCGAATTTGGGACAAGGGCAGCCCCATGTAGAGAGTGTTGCAGTAGTCCAATCTCGAGGTGACCATAGCATGGATCACTGTTGCGAGGTCATTGCGTTTGAGGAAGGGAACCAGCTGCCTGATCAGCCGTAGGTGGTAAAAGGCTGCCTTGGCAGTGGCTGCTACCTGGGCCTCCCTTGTTAAGGCGGCACTCCCAAACTCCTGACCCTCGGTGCTGGCACCAATGGTGCCCCATCAAAGGTTGGTAGTGGGATCCCTACCCCAGACCTGCTCCGACTCTGGCACAGGACCTCCGTCTTCATCAGATTCAATTTCAGTTGGCTCAGTCTGAGCCAGCCCGCCACGTCCTGAAGCGCCCGATCCAGGTAATCAGGGATACAGTTGGACTGGCTGCCCAACAACAGATAACTGGATGTTGTCAATGTATTGGTGACACCCGAGCCTGTACCTCTGGGCAAGGGGGCTTATGTAGATGTTGAATAACATTGGGGGTAGCACCACCCGTTGTGGAACCCCACAAGTCAGCGGGTGCCTCTGGGACATCTGATGCCCTAGTGCCACCCTCTGACCCCAACCTTGGCAAAAGGAGACAAGCCATTGCAAGGCAAGCCCCTATATCCCCATGTTGGTGAGGTGGTGGATCAGTAACTGATGGTCGATCATGTCGAATGCTGC